TAGAATTGTTGAAACCAAGAAATATTTGACTTCAGTTTTCAAAATGAAAGATCTCAATGAAATTAATACAATCTTGGGAATCATAGTCAAAAGAGATAAAAATGTGATTTCCTTGAATCAATCACATTACATAGAGAAAATTCTTCACTAATTTAGTCATTTGGAAACTAAATAGATTCTAGTATAAAATTAACTAAGAATTGTGAAGGAGTTATGGCACAATTAAAATATGTTAGTGTCTAGGCAGTATAATGTATGTTGCATATTGTAGTAGACCAGATATAGCTTTTGCCATTTCCAAACTTTTAAGGTTTACAAGTAAATCTAGCAAAGATCATTGAATGGCTATTACTAGAATACTTGGATATTTAAACAAAATAAAAAAATTTGGAAATTTGTTATGTGGTTTTCCTAGTACTTTAGAAGAATTTTCAAATGTTAGTTGGATAACTAGTATTGATGACAATAAATTCGCATCAGGATGGATTTTTATGTTAAGAGGTCGTACCATTAGTTGAGCATCTAAGAAGTAGACTTGTATTATGCATTTCGCAATGGAATTTGAATTTTTAGCATTAGCAACTACTAAAAAAGAAACAGAATGGTTAAGAAATTTGTTATTAGATATATTGTGATATAAAGTTGTGGCGACAATGAATGCCAGCCATTTCCATATATTTTGATTGTGAGGCCACAATGTATGTAGCTCAGAATAAGATTTAGAATGGAGAGTCTAGACACATAAGTCTACGACATATCTACATAAGAAAATTAAAATCAAAATGGCATTATAACGATAGTTTATGTTAAATCTTGCAAAAGTTTGGCTAATCCACTTACCGGGCCATCTAGGTCGCGCTTCCCTCTTGCTGAAATTGCCTTCCCTTGAACGTCGTTAAAACTTATTGTATCTTCATCTCATTCCCCGATCTCCAATATCGCTAGTGAATTCCTCCAAGGATGGCCTCGTAGGGATTGATAATAAAGGCCAGTAAGGTAACAAACTTTAATCATGTCACTACGTAGAACTCCTTTTTCGAGAACTGGGCTTTTGTTTTGCTTATAGCAAACCATAACTCACCTTCGATGGCGCTAGGTTCATTAGTTCTGCATAACATTAGGTTGTGCACGAGATTAGCACAGAATAAACTCTTCTCTGATTCAACGTCCATCATATGCCCAAAGCATGTTCTATTCAAAGCTTTTAACTCATTTACTTTGCACAGCATCTCTCGTATCTCATGCAAATACGACCACTTACAGTGGATGTTAATGCCAATGTTGAACCCCCACTGGTGCCTCGGCACACAAAACAAAGATCCCACATTATCCTGCTATGTTCCTACGTTAGCCATCTGCAACATAAAACACATAACATTCCCATTTTAGTTACTACGATCATTGTTGATTAAAAAAACAAGAGGAATTTTTTAGAAATAACCCTTCTCAAAAGCTCACTCTAAAAATGACACTTACAATAATTTTAATTATTTTCAAAAAACTCTGAAATAGATTAATTAATGCACGTGTCGAGCATGGATTATCAAGTAAATCAATATATACATATTAAAGCATTATAGTTGACCCAAAATAATGCAAAATGAACGTAATGTAGATCATGCAATGCCATATAGATATATTTTATGTAGTTATAACATTCGTGCAATTTCATATAGAAAACAGTCACTTAATTACTAACATTAAGTCATGCAATGATCTATCAACAAGTTACACAATACTAAGAACAACTAAGCCAATTACGCACGCATTAAGTGACGCCATGTTTGAATAGTATTCATGCAGTGACCTACCAACCACTCACGCAGTGACTAATCAACCACTCACGCAACAACATACCAACTAGTCACTCAATGTTAAACCCTAATGCAATCACACACACACTAAGTGATGCCATGCTTGAATAATATTCACGCAATGACTTATCAACTACTCATGCAATGACCTATCAACCACTCATGCAATGACATATCAATCAGTCACGTAATGTTAAACTCTAATGCAATCACGCATACCCTAAGTGATGCCATGCCTAAACAATATTTACGCAATGACCCATCAACCACTCACGTAATGACCTATCAACCACTCACGTAATGACCTATCAACCAGTCACACAATGTTAAACCTTAATGCAATCACACACGCCTTAAGTGATGCCATGCCAAAATCTAGTAATGCATAAGGTGCCAACCATGTAAGTAAGCCCTCAATCACACAATACCTAAACCCTGAACCCAATTCTTATCAAAGGATGATAACGCATACATATCAACCAGTCACATATACCTTGTCACCTTTCAACCCCAAAAACACCAACAATACCACCTTTATGTTTATATACAATAATATCAAACAATAAGAATATCAATATAAACAAGCAATATGCATAAGTTTATGCTTTAAAACAATAAAGGAAAAACATGAAGAATAACAATAGCCCTAAAAACATTTCTCCTCATGTTTCAAAATATAATAAAAATATATTATACCTTTCTCTGCATAATGTGAACTTGCTGTCACTGCTCAATACGTGAACTAACTTTATGCAGATAATAACCACTCTAAAATACTTCTACCATTGTAAAAAATGCTCGAAAGTTGAACTGACGAGGAATGCTTTCAACAGAATTCTTTGTGTGGAGATGTACGATTTGTCAATGAGAATTGAGGAGTTACACACCTTATACACATAATTGACCCAGTAATAGGTTTCAGGTTGAGATGCGGAGCCAAACAAATGGGTTGATTTCATGAAGGACAATTTTATCCTAATTTTAATTCTCTTGACTAAAAACAGTTAAAATTATGGGGATGCCAAATTTCAAAAATGCTTTATGCATGAGACTCATTTATAAAAAGAACTCTATATCTAAAAATGAAATTAGAGACACTATATTCTAACTCCGTAATAACAAGGCTCTAGCACAAGATGGGTACAATACTCACTTTTCTAAAGTAGCCTGGTACATTGTAGGTGAGGATGTTATTGTTGCTGTTCTCCACTTTAACTCAATATATTTGCTACATGGTTTCAATTCTACAGCTATCACATTGGTTGTAGAAAACCAAAATCCAGGGAGCATACTTAATTTCAGATCTATTTCTTGTTGCTCCATCTTTACAAATGTATATCCAAAATCTTGGCTAATAGACAAACGCGATGTTTATGTGCTATAATTAGTAAAAATCTAAATGCATTTGTGAAAGGTATGGATATTATTGATATTGTTCTAATGGCACAAGAGCTTGTCAATGGTTATCATAGGAGGATCTCTCTCGTAGATGTGCTTTGAAGGTTGATTTAAGGAAGGCTTTTGATTCTCTTAACTGGAGGAGGTGCAGCTTACTCATTGGTGCTTTGCAGATGATCTAATTGTCTTTTGCAAAGGGTCTTTGAGTTCAATTTTAGCCATTCAAAAAGTTCTTCATAAGTTTTACCTTGTTTCTGGTCTTCAACTTAACAATTCTAAGTCAGAATATTGTGCTTAATTATTCAGATTAAGCAGTGGGTTTAAGCTAAGGACTTTACCAATAAGATATTTAAGAGTTCCCTTAACCACAAGGAAGTTGACTACGAAAGACTATGGTCCTCTCTTGGAGAAGATTTCAAGCAAGATTAATAGTTAGACTGTGAGGAACCTTTTCATATGCTGGAAGCTTGCAGTTGATAAAGTGAATGCTATTCACCTTACAGAACTTTTGGTGCAGGAATTTTATACTTCCTCAACAAATCGTTCAAAAAGTGAATCAAATGTGTGTTGGTTTATATATATATATATATATATATATATATGTAAGTATAAGGGAAGAGATAAGCAGAGTACTTGTTTAAGGATGAGTTGGCAGCAAATCTGTCAGTCTAAAATGGAAGGCGGTTTGGGGTTAAGGATTTTATGGCTTGGAATATTGCATGCATTTTGAGAAATCTTTGGGCACTACTCACTCAGTCGGGATTTATTTGGATAGCTTAGATGCAAGCATATGTTCTCAAGGGTAGGTCCTTATGGCATATTCAACCTTCTTATAATAATAGTTGAAGCTGGAAGAAATTGCTCAAACTAAAGGACACAACCCTTCCCTTTGCCCAGAGTATGGGGACTGGATCAATTCCACTCCCAAGTATTATGTAGCCATAACTAGGGATGAAATCAAGCTTAAGCTGATGAAAGTGGATTGACACAAGTTAATATGGTTCAAATACGCTATTCCTAGGCATTCCATAATTGCTTGGATGATTACTTTGGACAAACTTCCTACTAAGCATAAATGTGCTCAAGAGGAATCTCATATGGTAACACAACTGTGCTTTTTGTGTAGAGGAATTGGAAACCGGGAATCACTATTCTTCAATTGTACTCACACTAAGTAGGTATGGGCTTAAGTTCTAAAATTGTGCGGAAGTCATAAACATGTTGGAGATTGGCCTAATGAATTCAAATGGGTGTAGCAAAGACTTAAAAGGAAAAGCATTTATAGCACGTAGGCTCAGATCACTAGCTTGGAGTGTCTGTATTTACTTTGTCTGGTTGAAGAGAAATAGGAGGCTTCATGATGTAGAGGCTAGTTCCAGTTCAATATTGCTGAATCATACCAAGGAAGTGGTAAGATGCAGATTTGAAAGATTGCAGGTTGCGGTCTACACACTGGGGATTAGAGGAACACGTGCTTGTATAGTTTGTGTTTTTACTCTAGATGTAATTACACATTATTTTGCTATCATATGCAGTTTGCACATACTGTACTAGGCTTGCCTACGCCTTCGGATGAATAGAAACCTCGTTTAACCAAAAATAATTTTGCTCAACGTTGCTGTACGTAATCATCCTGAGATGTGTTATATGTTTGCGTAGGTTACGTAACTAAGGAACTTATCTGCAACATTTTTGTTCAACAAAAATTAAAGTTAAAAGGCCACATATGGGCCTATGAATTTTGAAGTGTCTGGGCCTTTGGGGATGACTATTAAACGACCGACTGAGAGATGAGAGGGAGAGACCGAGAGAGATGTCGATACTGTGGGAAAAGAGCGAGACTTGGCGGTGGCTGGTGAGGAGGACAAGGGATTCGAAGCCCTTCTTCTTGGCCTTCGCAACAATATGCGGCGTCGTTCCGGGTGTCATAGGCTACGGCGTCATGCAGCTCACGAACTCCCGCAACCCTCAGCTGGAGGCCCAGCTGCGCCAAAATGCCCGCCCCGAATCCCTCGTAAGCACCCCCTTTTTGTCTAACCTAAACTTGGTTTAGATCCATGCTTAATTCTTCGACTAGTTATCAATTAAATGTTTTACATAACTTAATTCATGCCTACCTGCCTGTCTCATTGGCAAACCTTGAAACATGTCCCCCCATGTTCAAATAGAGAGAAATTTCCATGATAGTAAGTTCAATTTTTTCTTTCCTTTCTGGGTTAATCAGATGATGGGGAAAGTAAACCAAGAGCGATTGGCGGAATACCTTGGGGAGCTCCAGCGGAAAGAGGATACCAATGACCGATATGTAGCTGCTTTGAGGGGAGAGACATTGACTAGGAATCCTTATCAGCGAATTCAGCCAATTCCAAACCAGAAGACTGAAGCTGACATTCACCGGAAGAAGACCGACAAGGCTTAGCCATGTAAACTCGAAGATGAAGGGTTTACTTTGTCATGCTTTCGTGATATGCTTGCTTACATCACTTTGCAGGGAGAACCTGACCTGAAACAAGTCTGGGTTAACCACATCCTTGGATAATGTTTTTGCAATACTGTAATTGGAATAGGTAGAGTGAGTAAATAGATTCAATGTTCTATGTTTGTTTCTTGACAATAAGGTTGTTTGAACTTATAACATTGGTTCTGAGTAGCCTCCACTCTACAAAATTGTTTCAGCTCCAAAGGGTGTCCCGATTTTGTTCTGGCTTGCCGTCTTAGGCTCATGAAATTGGGAGATCAACTCTGTTGCTCATTTCTTAGTGCTATCTACTTAAGTTTTACCCACTTTTGTTTACCCCCGTGCCTTATCGTTCGGAACAGCTCTCTTGTTATGATACTTCACTGCATCTTAGTGCTGACAGTTTCTTCCCCCAATTATTTCTTGTCTCTCTGCATCACTTCCCCTACTCCTCATCGGTCCCTTTACTTGCCACGTACCAGGATTTGAAGACTGATAAAAGGTCTTTTCTAATTGACGATTCAACCTAGTTTCTGTGAAATTTGAGGAAAATAGTTACATGCCTTTGCAAACAAATGTAGTTTTACATATCCTCTCAGAAATATGCGAGCTAAAATTAATTAATCATGTGGAGTGACAAATGTGGAAGAAGAGGGTAAATCGGGGCATGAATCTCTGAGGAAAGTTCTATGTACACATAAGGCAACGGCTAATTAATCAAGTATAAAAGCCAACTGTACAAGCTTAAAATAATTAACTAACTTCTTCAAGTAACTTTTAAATCCTAATTAGTGAAACGGTGTGTAAGTTGGAGTAGCTTGTAGAATTTCTTTGGTAACAAAGCCTTGGTAAAAAATATCAGCTACCTACAAGTCAGTAGGTGTGTAAGTCGGAGTGATTATACTTGCCAATACTTTCTCTTTGATGAAATGGCAATCCATTTCTATATACTTTGTTCTTTTGTGAAACACTGGATTTTTGCTTATGTGTATGGCAGATTGACTGTCTGAATATAGAACAATTCGATCATCATGATTTATCCCAAAATCATTTAGTAAATGTTTTAGCCTTCTTAATTCGCAGCATGTTGAGGCCATAGATTTATACTATGCTTCAACAGAGCTTCAAGCTATTACAGCTTGTTTCATAGACTTCCAATTTATAAGAGTGTCTCCAATAAACATGCTGTATTCAGTGATTGATTTTCTGTTATAAGGCCATCCTGCCCAGTTACTATTTGAGTAAGCTAATATCTAAAAATTTGACTTTGCCTTCATTAAAATCCCTTGTCCAGGACCATTCTTCAAGTATTTTAACACTCTATAGGCTGCCATGAGATGTACGTGGCCAAGCTTGTTCATGAATTGTGAAAATGTTTGTACTGCATATGAAATGTCAAGTTTAATAAATGTGAGATATAGCAGTTTACCTATGAGCTGCCTATAGCTAGTTGGATCAGTAAGCATATCTTCATCATGTGCTTTTTGTAGTTTGTGATTGTAATCAATTGGGGTGCTTATTGGTTTTGCTCCTAGCGTACTGTTTTCCTCAAAAAGATCTAAAGTATACTTTCTTTGACTGATAGTGATTCTTTCTGGTATATCCATGATTTCAAGTCTAAAGAAGTATCTGACATCACCAAGATCCTTGAGATTAAACTGTGAATTCAGAAATTGTTTTATTTTTGTTGCTACAAGAACAGATGTGCTTCCAATCAAGATGTCATCTACGTAAATTAAAAGAGTTATAAATTCTGTAGTAAAAGTTTGCATAGTAAATGAGGAATAGTTTACTGATGACTGTTTGAAACCAAACTGCAAAAGAGATGTTGCAAGCTTGGCATTCCATTACCTAGATGCATGTTTCAAGCCATCAAATGATTTGTGTAATTTGCAAACAAGTTTAGATCCTCTAGGACACTCTTTCTAAACATGATAACCTTGAGGTATCTCCATATATACCTCCTCATCCATATCTCCATTAAGAAAGGCATTGTTAACATCCAGTTGTGACAAGGACCAAGCATTTGCTGCAACTAAAGCAAAAAATACTCTGATAGTTGATTGTTTTGCTATGGGGCCGAATGTTTCTTGGTAGTCTAAGTCTGCCATTTAACTGTACCCATTGGCCACCAATCTTGCCTTGTATCTCTCAAGTTCACCATTTGCTTTCAACTTGACCTTGTAAACCCATTTATAGCCAATTACATGTGAGTTTGAGGGCAAAAGTACTATGCTCCATGTTCCATTGTCTTGCAAAGCCTTCAATTCAGGGTTCATGATTTCTCTTTAATGAGAATAGCTCACATCTTGATGATAAGAGTTTAGTTCATGTATATGTAATAAAACAATAATGAATGCCTTATGTGCAAGTGATAGTTGTTTGGTGATTGGATAAAAGGTGACAAAATTGGTTTGGGATGGCTTGTCAACAAAATAAGCATCAAGATACTTAGAAGGTTGTTTCTATCTTATGCTTTTTCTGATAGGTGTTTGTATTTGTTCTGAATTGGTTACACTTGTATTGTTAGTGTTTGTAGGTAGTGACACACTATCATTGGAAGTTGAATTTTGGGAAATCTCAGTTGAATTAGATGCCAAAAGTTTTGCAGAAAATGAATGTGATTCAAATGAGTGTAATTCAGGTGATATATGGTGTAAGAAGGTTGATTTGGTGTATTGGAATCAAAATAATCAAAATATTTTTCATGTACAACATGTGTTTGATGAAATGCATTTAGTTGTGAGTCATGGTTTGATGAGTGGAATGGAACCACATATTCATGAAAAACAATGTCCCTTGATATTAGAACCTTTTGTGCAGAGAAATCATATACCCTATACCCCCTGGCATTAGCCAGATATCCTAGAAATATGCACTTACTAGCTCTTTTGTCTATCTTCATTTTGTTTTGTCTTAAGGTGGAGACAAAGCATAGCATCCAAAAACCTTGAGGTAGTAACAAACAGGTAGTTTTCATATAAGAATTTGAATAGTGATTTGTTGTTAAGTATTTTGGTGGGCACTGTATTTATTAAATGTATTGTTTTGAGGACTGCATCTCCCCAAAAATGAAGAAGAATACCTGATTGGTGTAGATATGCTCTTACCACAATCAGAATGTGCTGGTGTTTTCTTTCAACCACACCATTCTATTGGGGGTTATCTACACAAGATAGTTGATGAATGATTCCAGATTTGGTAAAGAAATTAGTAAGGCTAAATTCATTTCCATTATTTGATCTTGCACACTTAATTAATGAATCAAACTATTTTTGCACATACATGTTAAAATAAGGAATGATTGTTGAACCTCAAACTTGTTTCTCATTGAGAAAACCCAAGTAAAATGAGAAAAGTCATCTACAAAGAATCTTTGTTCTGACGAGGTTGGTACCTCATAAGGTCCCCAAATGTCAGCATGTATCAATTGAGAAATAGCATTCATACTTTGAATATGAATAGGAAAAAGAAGTCTTTTTTTATTTGCCAAAAGACAAATTTCACAAATTAAATCATCTAAACAATTGATCGTTGGATAAAGCTAATGAATCACATTGATTCTTTCTATAAGTGCATGGCCTAGCCTAAAGTGCCAAAGATCAAACCCTTTATATTTGTCCGCCAGTTCACAAGCATTAATAGAAAACACCGAAAGAAACTTTACAAATTTATCGAAACAAAATTTTGACATGTTTTGATCACTTTTTCTATTTTGCATTAGATATAACCCTGAAGATGCCCTAACAATGCCAATCATTGTCCAAGAGAGAATGTCCTGAACAATACAATGTGAGTTAGTGAATAGTACATAATTTTCTTTGGTGTAGGTATGTTTTCCTACTAAGATTAGATTGAATTTAAAACTCGAGACATAGAGGACATCATATAAGACCAATGAAGAGCTTGTTTTGACTGACCCTATCTGAGAAACTAATGCTTTCTTATCATTAGGTAACTGAACAAAATAATTTTCTACTGGATTAGCTTGGTTGAAACTGTCTTGGGAATAAGCTATATTATTAGTTGCACCTAAGTCCATGATCGAATGTCTTTGTTTAATCATGACCAGGTTAACATGCTTGAATGCATTTGGCAAGTTGTTGTGTCTGTTAAAATAACAAATATCAGACATTATACCTACAAAGGCAGAATTGACAAGTGAATGTTTGCTAGGTTGAGTTTTTGTAGGGATGCTTTTACCATCATTACTGATCAAACCATTCTTGTTTAAAAGATCCATTAACCTATTAACCTGCTGCTTAAACATAAACATTTAAGAGATCAAACTAGAACTTCCATCCTTCCCCACATGATTAGCTTGAGTGTCATCTGTCTGCTGCTTAATAATTGTAAAAACATTGTTCACAACTGTTCCTTTCTTGACATATGGCTTCCTTTTAATAAACTTGAAATCTTTTGCAAAACCAATTAGCTTGTAACATTTCTCCTTCACATGCCTTTTTTTACCGCAGTGAGAACATGTCGAGTCCTTTCTTGGTTTCTTCTTAACATCTATGGCTACAAGCATTGCTAAGGATTCAAGAAAAGGTTGAGATTGAAGGAACATGTTTCTATGTGCCTCTTCTCTAAGGACCATGCTATAAACTTAGTCTAGTGTAAGTATAGGGTCCATAAGGGTAATATGAGACTTGATGGTAGAGAAGGATTCATTCACACTATTTAGAAACCTAAATACCATGTCCGTTTGGTATTGATCACAGAACTTTTTAAAGCAATCGACATTGCATTTTCCACACTCACAATGTGATAATGGCTTGTAGTTTTTTAATTCTTCCTGAATGCCCTTTAATTCTATAAAATAATGGTCTATTATCCTGGTTTCTCGAGTTACACTTCTTAGTGTATATTGAAGATTACAAACATGGGTATTATCAAGTTAGGCAAAGTTCTATTTCAAAGTGTTCCAAATTTCAGTAGCAAAATCCATGAAAAAGATGGTAAAAGCTATTGGTTGAGAGATATAGTCTAATAACCAAGCCAATATAAGATTGTTGCATCTATTCCATGCTAAATATAGAGGGTCAATTACTAAGGGCTTGGGTATAGTGCCATTTATGAATCCAACTTTGTTCCTTATGGATATAACTAATAGAAAAGAGTAGCTTCAAGTTATATAGCTGTATGAGGACAGTTTGGGGTTTACAATCACTAAACCAAGATGGTTGGTATGATGTAGGTAATATGGTGATTGAGGGTCATTTGCTGGTGACAGTTGGGTGAATGAAGCAGAAGCAATGCTTCGTGGTGTAGATTCAGATGATTCAAACATGTTCTCAACTATTAGGCAAACAAATGCAAGCTAAGATTGAAAATGAACAAATGAAAGGAAAAAAAGACAACAATTAATACCCTTACTGATATATATATATATGAA